GCCGAAAAACAGTCAAAGGGTTAATACACATTATTTAGGTATGCATACTGGTCAGAGAGCCTGTTGTAAGTCCAAGTTGTCAGTAAATGAGTACATCACTAAGTGAGGAGAGGCTGTATTAATTACTCTTGTGCATGTGACCAAAGTTGGCATGTCTGTAGTGACTAAAAATACTTTTAATAGTAAGGCACTAACAACGATGTAATGTGTTAATTGCTCAGGGTTATGAAGAGAGGATGTATCAACCTGCCAAGTGGGTCTGCTCTAACACCACTGAGCAAACTTATAGTGACAAGAGCCAGAGGAAATTGTTCTTCAACCTTTTCCATTACATTACTGGTGCCAATACTCAAGGTAAAGCTGACTAATTCACTCATTCTTATCTTACCCAGTATGTTATTTTCTGCTGCAGAATTGATGTACGGTACTTCCACCATTCTTTTTATATAAGCAGGCAGGACATGCATGTATATACATGTAATAATAAATGTATGTGCTAGTGTTACTAGTTGTCAAAGGCAGGCACTTGTCGATTGTGTGTGTGTGTGTGTGTGTGTGTGTGTGTGTGTGTGTGTGTGTGTGTGTGTGTGTGTGTGTGTGTGTGTGTGTGTGTGTGTGTGTGTGTGTATGCGTGAGTGCGAATGTGTGAGAGAGAGAGAGTAACCCTCAAAATCATGAGGTAGTGTTAATTTTTAGAGTGTTAATTATTTTACCAATAATGATCTAAAAATGGTCAATGCCCACCAATACAGATACCTTGACACATTCTACAAAATAGAGATGATTTTGGTTGGTTTCAGGACCAGAGAAATAGGTTGAATTGGGCAAAAAGTAACAGAAATATTTTATATTTTATGATTTTCCTGATGGGTAAGGCCCCTCCTTCACCCTTGGTCTGTTTTATGGGTTTTTACTAGGGCTGTTTCAGTTATTGGGATGCCGTAAACCATGAAAAATCATTCCTTGGTGTATTTTATTATCAAAGAAATAGGGTAAATTTTTTATTTTATTTTATTTATTTTTTTTTTTTTTGTATCATGAATTCATCATGGAAGGCAAGTTCTGAGAATGTGATTAATGAACAGTTGAAATGTTGCATTGTGTAAAGTTGACCAAATTACTGACTTCTGTATACACTATAGGGTAGTTCTTATAGTTGAATATGTGGTTTCTTGGACACAATTGATAGAAGTTCTAGAAGGCAAATTAGTGAAATAGCTAAGAATTTCGTCAAATTGAGCAATGGACTCAAATTGGACAAAATTGCCAGTGCATAAATTATGCCCAGACTGCTAAATTTGTGCCTGCATAAATTTGTAATTTTCCATCAAATTTCCTATTTTTGGTGCTGTTACCTTCAGAAAAGATTCTCTACCATTTCAGAAGAAAAAATGATTTTAGTTTGAAAAATGCCAAGATTATCAACACTAAATTTCAGGGCTTCTGACAGTGAAGGTTAATAATTAAAAATTATCACATATCGTCACAAACAGCTTATTTCTATACCAGTTATCTGGAAATGTTGACTGTCATCAATTTCACAGGTAAGCACTAAACCCATAACGGATCATAAAGTACCTGGGTAATGGTAGGTAATCAGGTTTGATCCAAGAATGGAGGGTGGCTCTTATTCTTGGTCAAAATCC